GACAAAGAAATACCCCCAACTTGAAGGGAAAGGAAGAATCCCCACAAAGAGAAATAAATGAAATAGAGGCAAGTAAATTATCAGATATTGAGTTCCAAACAACGGTTCTAAGGAAGCTCAATGAGCTCAGTGCGCTCAGAGAGAATTACCAAAAACTACAGAGAAACTATGAGGAACTTACTGCAAACTGTATCAGCATGAAAAAGGACATAGAAACTATCCAGAAAAGACGAGAGGAAATGAAGAATACAGTTTCTGAATTGAAGAACACAGTAGAGGGAATCAAAAGAAGGCTAGATGAAGCTGAAGACCGAATCAGCAAGCTGGAGGACAAGGTAGAAAAAAGATCCTGGAAAGAGCAAGAGAATGAAAAAAGACTCAAAAAGAATGAAGAGGCATTTGGGGGAAATGCAGGACAACCGGAAATGTAATAATATCCATATAATAGGGATACCAGAAGGAGAAGAGGATGAGGAAGGGATAGAGAACCTGTTTGAAAAAGTAATGATGGAAATCTTCCCTGACTGGAGGAGAGAAAAAGTCACACAAGTCCAAGAAGCACAGAGGGTCCCATTCAAGAGGAACCCACTGAGGCCCACTCCAAGACACATCATCATTAAAATGGCAAATATCAAAGACAAACAGAGAACCCTAAAGGCAGCAAGGGAGAAAGGTAGTAATATATAAGGGAGCCCTGATATGGCTAGCAGCTGACTTCTCAACAGAAACACTGCAAACCAGAAGGGAGTGGCAAGAAATATTCCAAGTCATGAAAAGCAAAAGGCCTGCCACCAAGACTGCTCTACCCAGCAAGGCACTCAATTAAAATGGAAGGCGATATAGGGAGTTTCCCAGACAAAAGAAGGCTAAAAGAATATACCTCCGCCAAACCAGCACTGCAAAATATGCTAAAGGGACTGTTTTAAGATGAAGAAAAAGAGTCTATGAATACCCAGTTCCTTTCAGAGTTGCCAATACTTGATATAACCAATTTTTAATATTTATTAATCTGATCATTACAATGGTGTGTAATTTTGTTATTTTATTATTTGTTGAAACTAAACCTGTTTTTGTATATTTCTTGCCTATTTCTATTATTTTTAAAAAAAGCTTTAAATGACTTTTGGTATCTTTATCCACTTATTGATTAAAGGTTTGTAGAACTTTTTCCCTAAAAAAACAAAAAAACTAAAATAAAACCTTATTAACCATTTTTTAGAGGTATCACAACTACTTTCCCATTCTATTACTTGTCCTTTAACTTTTTTATGTGTATATTACTATATAGTTAAATGTTTAATATAGTCATTATAGTCATATTGTCAATATTTATAGCTTCTGAAGTTGAATATTTTACTTCAGGTCATGAAAAATATTAGTTCTATTTTCTTCTAAAACTCCTTAGATTCTACATATTGATTTTTAACTCACCTGAATGTTTCTTGTATAATGTGTGAAATAGGGCTCTATATTTGTTTTATTTCAAGTAATAGTAGTCCATGCACCTTATTTGTTGAATAAGCTTTATTTTCCCCATTGATTTGAAATATCAACTTAATCATATATTGTATTGTTAGACAGAGACATACGTTTGCCTCTAGAATGCTCATTATCTTTCATTATCTACTTGATTATTTCTGTGCTGGTGTCATGTTGGTTTAGTTGCTGAGACTTTATAATGGTTTTAAATTTTTAAAAATATTTTATAATTAACTTTGACATTTAAAAAATAAATAAAATCAATCTGTATGAAAGAAAGAAAGAGAGAGAGAGAGAGAGAGATGGAACTCCTACCTTTTGCAACAACATGGATGGAACTGGAGAATATTAAGCTAAGTGAAATAAGCCAGTTGATGAAAGACAAATACCATATGATCTCAACTATAAGTGGACTCTATTCAACAAAATAAACTAACAAAATAAACCACAGGCACGGAAACATGGAGCAGACTGAAAGTGACCAGAGGGTGTTGGGAAAGAGGACAATGGTGGAAAGAAGGGGAAGGGACTAGACAAAGCACATGTATGAATGACACATGGACATGGACAACAGAGTGGGAATTAACTGTGGGAGAGGGTGGTGTGGGGGTGGGATGGGTAGAGGGGGTAAAGGGGTAAAAACTGAGACAACTGTAATAGAATAAACATGATTTATAAATTTAAAAAATAAAAATAAAAAAAGAAAGCAAAAAATAAACAAACAAATAAATAAATAAAATAAAAATGGGCCACAGATAAACCATGATCCCATCTACTTGCATGGAAACAATGGAGGGAAGAGTTACTGGGGTTTTACACCTGGCTGAAAAACCCAGTGACTTTGAAAGCAGACTCTGAAAAATAATAGAAATAGGCAAGAAATATATGAGAAACCTTGATCTGATCCATGTGTGCTAATCCCTGATGTCCTGGGCATTTTTGTTTTAGCTGAGTGGTATCCATTCATCTTTTCTTCTCTCTAAGGAACTACCCCAACTTAGAGATCATGTGCTTCAGTTGGAGATGATTTCACCCCCAAACCCAACCCCAGTGGCGCAAAATGCCACTAAAGTCCCTTTGTGTTTAAGGCAGTTTGTATTTGGAAATCATAGTCGTATGTGTTACTGAAAGTTCTGATGGTCAGGGGCAAGGCCAGAGAACCTCAGTGTTCTGGACAAACATGTGTTTCTAGACTAACTAAAGAAGCAGATAATGTTCGTCTTGCCTCCCCATACAATAAGTCACGTTAGTGTTGCTCCCCCTCTGCCCATAGGGGTGGAGGTTTGTGTTCTTGGAGAGATAGGAATTTTAGTTCAAGATCTGTCACTAGAAGCCTCTGTAATCTTGGAGAATTCTTCAACTTTCTAAGCCTCAGTTTATTTTTATGTAGAATGAGGAGTTTCAATAGATGATTTCTGTGGTACCTTCTAGTTATTAAAATGATTGTATAATTCTCACTTTTCAGTGTCTGCTTGTTTAATATAAACCTGTTGACTGATTCCATGGGCCCTGCAGGAGCAGACCTAGATGCTACCAGTAAAGGCCTAGAGCTGGTACAGACTCTCTGTGCAGTAGATCTATGTCTGCTTGATCCACAGACCAAATTCCAGCACCATGGACAGTCTGGCACTCCAGTCATACAGAGGAGTGGCCCCCGGGCACAGCTTCAGTCTAAGAGCCAGAGTCTTCATAGGCCCGGATTTGAAAATTCCTGAAACACCAAGGCTGCTATAATTTGCTATCTATGAATAAATTTACTCATCTGTTCTTAGATCTATCTGGTCTCTGATTTTGAGCCTTTTCTTGGTTGGCTGGTGTTGAACCCTAAAGTTATTGCTCCTGGGTCCAGAATACCCTTCTATTTAAATTGCAAATTAATAAGGTTGTTTAAGTGAGTCATGGGTTGGAAGACCAATTTTTTCCCTCTCTCTCTTCTGTGGTCTCAGACTGTGAATCTGAACAGAAGAAGGCATCTTACAAATGGCTGATCTTGAGTACCAAAGTGTCCCTGGTGGAAAGGCATGACAGACATGCCCAGGGTCACCACTGCTGCAAACACAGCAGACGCACTGTTTCTTCGATGGTGTCCTCAACAGCTTTGACATCAGATACCCCTGGGGATGATTCGGGAAAGCCCTGTATTTTCCTAACAGCACCTTTTCCTAGGTTTTTATTTTTGTTGTAGTTACTGTTCTATTTTTTTTTAATTTATGAGGTGTGATCCTTGATTAAGTCCTTTATGGGGGCTATCATTTCACCAGGGTACAAAAGTATTAAATAATTTAGTCCCCTCTGATCTTCTCTTCATTGTCCATCTTGGGTAAACAAGAAGGAGAGTTTTCTATTTTGCCTTTTTCTTCTTCTTTTTTGGCTTCAATGATCCCTTTGTTAATGGTTTTTAATCATAACTCTGATCTGGGCCTCTCTCGAATTACAGCTTACTGTGTCTAGGAGTTAGGTGAAAATTTCCCCTTAGACTTCCTACCATTATTTTCAATGCAATATGATTGAAATCAAATTCATCAGCTGCACCATAAAATCAGATTCACTTAGCATCTTCCCCATCTCTGTGAATGGACCCACAATTTTCCAGTCCTCTGACTTTAGTCCAAACTTTGGAGATATCCTTGACTAGGACTCTTTGTTTCTGTTCACCAATTTTGCAATATGTTAATAAAATAGCTCATCTTCTCTCTTCCTCTTCTGCCACCCTGGTCTGTGCCCACCATGGTTCATGTCTGAATGATGTAGCAGCTCAGCTACTCTCCCTGAGTTCCCCCAATTCCAGTTTATCTTCCTCTCTAAGACCAGATCGATTTTCCTAAGCCTACCCTTTATCCTATCATTCCTTGGCACTAAAAAAAGTCAGTATCTTCATATTACATCACATTAAAATTCTTGTAAGATTTCAAAATTTCACATCAACTACTTTCTCCTACCTGTTCAAGTTGAACAATGTTTGTTGGCTTTTATTATCCTAGGAATATATATAAATGGTCTATATTATTCCCTATTTGCCAACTACATCACCTATCCCCTATGTGTTTATCTAACACCCCAGATTCATCCCCATCCCCTTGACTTTGCCCATGCTGATTCCTCATCTAAGATATTTCTTTTTCTGTCCTAGAATCCCTCTTGGCCCCTCCAGGAAGCCTTCCCTCTCCATTCTAGCCAACACTGACCTCCCTCTCTGTATAACCACAATGTTTATGGTCCATACTAGATATAATCATTGAATAACCTGCTGTGTCTTTTCTGTCCTGCGTGTTTCCTTCCCAACCAGACCATAAACCCCTTGATGGTAAAGGTGAGGCTATATACTTCTTTGTCTGCTCCACAGTGGCTAGCAAAAGGCACTCAATAAGTATTTGTTGATGCGTGGAAATGGATTTATAGTAATTAGGCATGGGGTAAGAGACAGGGGGAAAGGAGAATGATCTGAGTCTAGGTCATCCAGATAATTATTTGGATCTACCAGTTGAGGTCCTCTGTTTCCCTCCTCTTCAGGATTACTTTACCTGCAGAACTGAACCTCCTGGTCAAACTGTGAGTTTTCAGGTTGCGTTCCCTCCTTCAGCTGGCTGACGTTGAAAAAGGAGAGGGTATGGTTGACAAAGCCATGCAGAGTCCCATTGTGACTATAGGCGTACTGGTACACAAGGCGGGGGATAAAGTCAGAGGTGATGGCAATGACAAAAGCCTGAGGAACAAAACCAAAAGCACTTGAGGATGGGTCAGGATGGACACTGCCCAGCTGGCACAGGGTCCAGCTAACTGAGAGACTGTCCCCTCTTGGGCTTCCCATCCAGAGGTGCTGCTCTGACTGACAGAAAAGTCCTTATCCCTGAGCTCACACAACTGACTGACCTGGCTTTTCTTTGATATGTGTAAGTAAATCCACAAGACAGTAGCTGTTAAAAGAATAAGTTACAACCACTGTAGCAAAGGATGCTAAGCCATTTTGGACCATTCGGTGCTGGAGGGAATAAATCACCTCTGAGATATTTGGTATTGGCCAATCCAAAGTAGAATGGAAGATTTTCTGAGAAAGTTACCAAGAGTGATGAAAATGTCACATAGATACAATAGGCAAGGACTCTGAATGACCAGATATATCTGCCCCTGAATGACATCGGAAAGCCAGGAATATAAAGGATATGGTTCCTCAATCTCCTCAATTTGACCATTACCTCTTGGCGCTTTTTGACACATTATATAATAGAAGTGATTCTTTCATTCATTTTACTTAGGAAAAGTGAGACATCGAGGAGAAATGAGAAGGTCCTGCTGGATGGAACCACATGTAGCCAACATAGCATCTGGCATACCTAAGCATTCTATAAATGTCTATGGAGCAAACCAAATGACAAAAGAATGATTACATGTTTGAATGTGGAGGTACTTTCTGCAGAGGAAATCTTAACTCTTTTTGGTGAGTGTTTACACTATATTCCACACCAACAATTAAAGCTCTTTTTAAAAATGTAGTTTAGGTATTGTTTTCTAAATGTGTATATGAGTGTATGTGGCCATAACCATATCTGAGAATGAGTAACATACTTATAATACATATAATACGTAACATACTTATAAGTAACATACTTATAATAATCACAGCTACAACTACTGAGAACCGATTAGCTGTCTCTTCATCATCCCATCTAACTTCCAAAATGATCCTATTTGGTAGGTATTCTTATTCTCTCCCATTTTTACAGATAAGTGAGAAAGTCTTAGAGAGGCCAGATAAGTACAATTTCTTTCCTTCTATTGTATAGATGGAAAGTGCTTAGTACTTAGGGCCCCCCCTTTTTTTAGTTGACACAACACCCAATTAGCTATTGACCTAAATATTTTCCAAATTGCACCTTATTTTTCAAAATGTGTGTTTCCTACATTCAAAAACACAATGAGCTGATTCTCTCTGCCTCCGCTCACAGCTCTCCAGCCATTTAATGTGTTCTTACTAGGGAACCAGGTCCCAGCTGGAGTTAGCGTTTCTCTCCCAAGGGAAAACAGGCCGTGGATGTCTTGGTGTTCACTGAGCTGGCTGATGTGTTCTTGGGAGACTGGAAGAGGAGGCCCTGCCTGGCCACCATCCGTACAGAAGGCAGAAGCAAACGGAGCTGTTGGCTTGGGCCCCGCAGGATTTCCTTTGAAATGTGGACATGTCTGGCAAGGCAGTTAAGGAGGTCACAACAGGTAGAACCCCTCTTCTTCCATGTCCTATCTTCACCTATATAGTGCCAGAGTCCGTGGGGATAATTAAGACTTCACAATGACAACTTGGAGGAACTGTAATTAGGAATCGCAGCCTGGGCAATGCTCCAGGCATTGTTTAGCTCAGGAGTAGAAAAGAAAGGAAAGAGATGGATAGATATGAGGAATTCTTTCCTCATTACCGTTGGCTCTGAGAAAAACTCTGATTTTGACTTTTAAGGCAAAGTTTTACATTCTGGTGGGTGATTACCCTTCTTTCTCTTAGTGAGATTTACAATTAGGTGGCATAGTTCTGGCAACAGCATGATGACTTAGAAAGGCTTGTATGCACTATTAACCAGGGGGCTGCTTTAAATAAAGCTCCGAATGGAAAAGGCTGAGAGGTAATAAGGGCCAGTATCCTGCTTGGAAGACTTCAGCTCCTCAGGAAAGCCCTTCCCACAGAGCTAGGGTGTCATGAATGTAAGTACTTACATTGCTGATAACAGAGAACTTGCCGATTCCAGAGAGAATGTCAAACCAAATCCCTGTAAGAGAGAAAGGAGGGCGTCTGGCTTACTCCCGCCCTTGGCCCAGCGATGACAACCTTGTGGCTCAGGGTGATGTTTTGCAGGCACATGACTGGGGAACGTTTGCTGGGCTCCCTGGGAGTGGGCTTGTCTAGAGAGGCTTAGGTGCTCCCTCGTCTAAAAACCAGGGGACAACTGGGAGTGGATAATGTAGCCTCTGAAGGCCTCCCAGTACCTGAGGATCTGAGAATGAGGAGCTCAGGGGCATGAAGAGTCAAGGGCTTCCCCAACCCTCTGGATTCCTGACACAGTGTGAGGGTGGTGAGCGGGGATGGGTCTTCCACTGCCTCTAAGCAGGGGACATACCGATATCTTTGGTTCTCACAGCATCTGGCCGTCTCAGCTCTGTGACAAACTTCTTTGCATCAAGCCGCACTTCAATGACATTGTTGAGGAGTGCAAACACAGGTGCCAGAGGAAAGGATGCCACAAAGAGGGTGACAAAGCCAAACTGGACAACTGAAAGAGAGCACAGGCATGAGAAACCAGGAAGAAGCAGGGCTTAGATCAATTCTGCTTTGTTGCTTATGGCCCTGGTCTCTGCGGGGTTTTTTGTTTGTTTGCTTTTATTTATTTATTTTTTATCCTCACCTGAGGACATTGTTTCATTGCTTTTAGAGAGAGGAAGGGACAGAGAGAGAAAAACATTGATATGAGAGAGAAATATTGATTGGTTGTCTTCTCATACATGCCACGCCCCGACTGGGGATCAAACGCACTAACTATATATGTGCCCTAACCAGAAATCAAACCCACAACCTTTTGGTCTATGGGATGACACTCCAGACAACTGAGCCGCATCAGCCAGGGCCCTGGTCTCTTCCTACGGGGTCTCTTCTCTACCTTGCTCTCTTAGGCTCCCTTTTCCTCCTGTCCCGCCATCATGGGCATTTCTCAGTTCCTACAGGCCTATGGGTCAATGCCATCACTTGGGATCAAAGCGCCTGTATTAGGCACAGTTGAGGAGATAAGAGAAAAAGGAGTCTTGTCTCTTTCCTTTCCATCACCCTTTATCTCCAGTCACTAACCCTGGTCACCTAACTCAGAGGTCGACAGACTTTATCAGCAGATGTCCAGACAGTAAACATTTTTGCATTTGCAGGCCATCTTATCTTGTCACAAAGAGTTAACTCTGCTCTTGTAGCATTAAAGCAGCTATAGACAAAACATACACAAATGGGGTTGGTTGTGTTCTGACAAAACTTTATTTACAAAAGCAGTAGAGGAGTGGGCTGGATTTGGCCCATGAGCCATCATTTTCCATGTACCTGATGTAACTTAAAAATATCATCTTCCAAATTTGGCCCCTTCTCTCCATATCCATTGTCACCGTCTTTATTTAGAATGTTTATTCATTCATCTCACATTTATTGAGAGCTCACTGAATGTCAGGCACTGTGCCAAGTATTTAAGGAGGGAAAGGTCCGGGTTTGCCTTCAAGGAGCTGGATGTAAGCAGAAAAGAGAAATGTACATAAAGATTTGCAACACGATTTTATGTGTGCTGAGGGAGAAAGAAGAATGTACCAGAGACAGCGGAGCACCAAAGGAGAGAGAGTGCAAGCCCGTCCAGGGTGGGCACTAAGGAAAGTCTCCGTATCAAACACCTATATTTAGTCTTGAAAGATGGGCCTGTACTTCCAGCAAGATTGGATTAAGGAGAGCATTCCAAGCAATGGAAGTAGTGGGAAGAGCCAAATGTAAGCAGCCTGTGCCAATCAGATGGCTGTTAGATGTCCAGGCCCTCATTTCTACCTGGACAACCTCAGCAACCTCCTCACTGGTTTCCTTGTTCCCAGCCTTCCCATGGCTCTACCATCCCTGTGGTCCTGATTCTGTCAGTTCACCTCTCATAAAAATTTCTATTGGATCCCCTCTGTTTACTGGATATAATCCAAATTCCTTATCTTGGGACACAGCTGCTTTATAGTCTGCTCCCAAACTGCCTCTCCAGCCCCATCTGACAATATCTCCCCCAGAGCCACCATGCTTCTGCCTTCTCGCCCTCCTGATTTTTCCCTGAACGCATTAGGTCCTTCCACCAATTTGTGCACAAGCACTCACTCTCCAGCTAACAAATTCCAAATCATCCCCAAGGCCACTCAAATGCCACCTCCTTGGTGAAGCCCATTTCATTACCCCCTTCTCTGCCCCCTGCCACGTTTTGTGGAGGCCTGTTGCAGCCATCACCGAGTGATGCTGTGACTGATCTACTCACATGCCTTTATTTCCTACTAGAAAGGCAGGGGCTTCATCCATTCCAGAGGCTCAGTACATATTTCCTGATGTAAACACAGTCCCAAGTCCCAGGAAAGTCACAATCTAATAGGGTTTCCCCAGCCCTAACCACTGTGGCTCAGCTGGTTGGGCATCATTCCACAAAGCAAAAGGTCATGGGTTCGATTCCTGCTCAGGGCACATGCCTGGGTTGCGGGTGCAGTCCTTGGTCAGGGCACATATGAGAGGCAACTGGTCGATGTTACTCTTTCACACTGATGTTTCTCTCTCTCTTCTCCCTCCCTTCTCCCTCCCTTCTCCTCTCTCTAAAATAAATAAATAAATAAATAAAATATACTAAGGGCAAGTTATTTAACTTCTCCATGTCTCAGGTAGTTCAACTGTGAATTGATAATAATATGACCCACCTGATAGGGTTGTCATAAGGGTAAATGTTATTGCATATACAAAGTGCTTAGAACAACATCTGCCATTTAATAATTGTTCAATAATGTTACCTGTTATGTGTAATTTTACTCTTATTGGAATAAATATCAGCACATACAGATGGCTGCAATGTATGAGGTATGTCCAGAAAAAGTCCAACCACTGTTAATACAATGAGAATGGTTTATGTGATATCCATGTAACCTGGCAGCCAAGGAGAGTAGGCTGGAATGCTCATGTGTAAACAATGATTTCACTGTACTAGTTAGTAGGGTGGTAGATGCCATTGCATGAGCATGTGTACTGTATGGCTGTTGCATTCAAAATGACTGAGTGAGTAGAGCAACAAATCTATATCCAGTTTTGTGTTAAGCTTGAACAGTCATCCCTGGAAACTATTCAGATGATTCAGAAGGTCTCAACCATGGGCAACTGGCGACTGGGAGCTTTGTCACGACAACTCAGGCATTATGCCTTCTGCAGAGTTTTTGGTGAAACATCAAATCACCCAGGAGACTCAGACCCCCTACAGCCCGTATTTGGTGCCCTGTGACTTCTGGCTTTTCCCAAAACTAAAATCACCTTTGAAAGGGAAGAGACTTCAGACCATCAATGAGATTAAGAAAAATGTGACAGGGCAGTTGATGGCAACTGGAGAACTGTGTGATGTGCCAAGGTCCCTATTTTGAAGGGGATTAAGGCGTCATTGTCCTATGTACAATGCTTCTTGTATCTTGTATTTTCTTCAATAAATGTCTCTATGTTTCATATTACATGGTTTGATACTTCCAGGACAGACCACATATACTGGATACTTATATGCCAAACAAACACCAATTTAAGTTAAAAGCACTGAACAAGAGTCAGGAGGCCTGACTGCTAGTCCTGGATATCACTGGTTACATGCTCTTGGGCAATTCTTTCTGTTTCAATGGGCTTCAGCATCCTCGTTGATAAGCTGAAGAGAATGGGTTAAACTCCCTTCAGGTCTGATTTGCTATGATGCCACCTCAAGATTCTAGAACAGTGTGATGTTCAACCTTTTCATCTCATGGCACACACAAACTAATTACTAAAACTCCATGGCATACCAAAAAATATATTATGTTTTTTTGCCAGTCTGACAAAAAATATTGGTTTAATTTTGATTCATTCACATTAGATAGCTGTTGTTGTGTTGGCTGTTGCCATTTTTTAATTTGACAGTCTATGGGAAGAGAGGTCAGTGCCCCTGAATGTAAACAGTCAGGTATTACATGTTTTAAAAATTCTTGTGACACACTGGTTGAAAATCGCTGTTCTAGAATATTCAAATGAAGAATGAAGAACCAGAATCCAAAAATAAAAAAAAAAAAAGTTCACAGAGGGATAGCCCTAAACATAGTAGAAGTTTCATGAAAGAGAACGCACAGGGGACCTTTGCACAATGACTTTTGACCTGGCAGTTTGCTGGGACCCACAGCTGTGTGTTATTGCTCTGATACACCCCTGTCATGGCCATCATCCTTGATGTCCTATGAATGCTCAGCAGACCCTACAAGACTGACAGGAGCCGTTGGTGGCTAGATGCACCAGAAGGCACAGATTTGTCAAGGTTGGGCCATGGAATGATGGCCTGGCTAGCTAGAAGGCCAAAGGAGATTGGGTTGGGGTTGGGGAGGAGAAATCCTCAAAATCAAGCTCTGGGAGCCAGTTCAAATGCAGGGTCTATGGCATCTTTTAAATGAGGCTTTGCTGAGGAATTTACTTTAGAGTTGAGGGTGGGGGTGAGGGCAGAGCGGGTAAAGGAGGATGGAATTAATGAGGAAAGCAAAACAGATGTTAGACTGTTTTTCTAAAACCTGTAAAATACATGTCTATGTTTATGTATATATATGACTATATCTTTGTTTATAGTGTTCTAAGTTGATCTTGATTCTATGAACTAGCTCTGTAAGTATAAATGTTCTTCCCACAGTGACTTCCTTCAGCAAAACTGCAGACTCTTTAAAGCCCCCAGCAAGGGCTTGGCAAGGTGACTGATGGGGGTGAGGAAAGGGCGGGTTACTTCTGAGTGACCGTAAATATACACAGCATGTCCTCACCACACTCATGCAAGTGGCTCTAGGGGATCCAATGTCCTTCCAGGATTATAGGAAAAATGGGACTCTACTACTCTCCTTTCTTTCACATGAAACATCTCCTCTGGGCTTGCCCTTATAGTTTGCTTTTCTGCCTTCACAAACTCTCCAGACACAGGCTCCCTTTGTTCCTCTTTCGTTGACACAAACAACTTCTAGTGATGGTTCAATGCTAATAGTGCCCATAAATTATCTCAACCCCACAACGCAATGTCTCATCTCTCTCCCTGGCCATGTAAATCTATGTGTTCAGGACTGGACAGCCTCAAGGCAGGGGGCTCAGCAAAGGCCAGTGGCGCTAAGCCTGGAGTGACAGGACACTGCTGTCCCATCTTCTGAGGTTACTCCCTGGTCTCCTGGGTGAAGAGAAGCTACTCTCTGAAGATGTTCCATTGCTGTAGGTGTTGCCTCCTTGAACTGGGGACCCTGAGCATTTCCATGATCAACCCAAAGAGGCAGAAACAAATAGGAAGTTTTATTGTATCTTAGGGAGAAAAAAATAAAAAACAAAAACAAAACATAAACTTGCTGCATATAAATGCCAAATCCAAGACTCACTCTGTGTAGTCAAAAGTCTAAGTGCTGTATCAGATGAGCGTCCTTCTGGGTTCACTTCAGAGGACACATTGATACCGGCCTTCACTCACACCAAGATTTGCTTCTAAAAACAGCCAAC